CTTTTTTATACTAAAAATTAATACTGTATAGCTAATGGCAGATGCTGAGACAGGTGGGAAAGGGCTCGGATGATTGGGGTTGTGGTAAACGTTTTCAAACGAATTCAAGATTTCCGGTCATAATGCTCTTCTTGTTTTATACAAAAAGAAACGGAGGCCAAAATAGCTGGCACCTTGAGAAATACTGTGAAGTTTCATTGCTGATGAAGAACATTTAGCTCATGCTGGATCTAAATCATTTTCAGAAAAAGATGGTTCCGTATCCAGATTCCACCCCATGACCCAACAATGGTCATGCCTGGTAAGATCAAGGGCCACCGTGTTCCCTTCACGCTTTACACGACTGTAAACAACGATATTGAAATGCCTTCATCAATCAGCTGGTGGTGATATTTCCTCGTCATGGGTTCATAACCACAAAACTAAGCGACAAGTCTATGAATCAAGCATATTTGCTTTATTGTATTGTTGAGTGTTGAATCAAGTCGATTCAATGTTTAAGTATGTGTAGTTTTCCGTTATAAATGTTAGGTTGCAATTCTCCATCAATGATTTGAAGCCCAACAAACAAAATTAATCCTTTAAACATATTCAATAGTTCCTTTTCATCGTATGATCAAAAGATAGGTATCCTGAATCCTTGCAACTTTTACCTAGGATGCCCAATGGACTCCCAACTATTAATTTTCTTAGTTTAGTTCGAATAATTTACAAGTAATTCGAATTTATTCTAAACGTTAGTTATTTCATTAAATTTAAAATTTTATTGAGTTTAATTCATATTTTAACTTTTTAATTAACATTCAGTATTATCTTCAAGATCATTATAGTGATATGATTATCATGATAATAAAATTTAAAGTGATTAGATCACTAATGATTTTAAATTATCAAGTTTAGTGTAATATCATAAATTATTAGTGATCTTAAATCATTATATTTAATATTACATAAAAAATTATTAATTATAAAACACTCAAAATAACCTTGTTATAATAAATTAAATTATTTAATGAAAGCAATAATTTCAAATTTTATTGAATAAACAATTTATAAAATAAGAATGTCTTGCATAGAAAATTACAAGATATGAAAAATAACAAAAGATTTTATATTAATATTTTTATGTATTTTATTTTTTGAATTAAAATCTAGAGGAAAACCAAACTGGGCTTGTGGATAAATACTTAGCCCAAGCCCAATCCACACTCCAACCGGTTTATTTATTAGGTCGGTTCCGGGTTTTTCATTGGTAGACTAGTTTTGGTGGGTTTAAGCATGACGGGTGGTTTGATTGGAACCCAATATTAGGTCGGTTCCTTCCTTCAAGTCAATGGGCTAATGATTGGTAGACTAGGTTTGGTGGGTTTAAGCGTGACGGAGGGTTTGATTTGAACCCAAAGGGACCGTCGGTCCCCCGATTCGTGAACCAGCAAAAGTACGCGTTTCAGTGACCAATCAAAGAAGAGTATTGAAGTCACCCATCCAATAAGCAAAATACACGTGGACAACACACGTAGCTTGGCGCTCCTTCAGTCTTATAATAACAATCGCCTTCACTTTTAGCTTGGCCGTTGCAAGATCTCTCTGTTTCCTCGTTCGTCGGTCCTGCCCTTCGATCTCCTTTCTATTTTGGATTAATTATCAGATTTTTTTTAAAGAAAAAGGAAGAAGAGGGGAGAAACAGTTTTTCAGCGACGTCGTAATGGAAGCGCACGGCGCCGGACTCCGGCGAGTGTTAGTGTTGGTATTTTGCGTGGCCGGGATTTGGTCGGCCTATATTTACCAGGGCGTTCTTCAGGAAACTCTGTAAGTATCTTTAATTTTACATTCGTTATTTCTTTTTTACTCAAATTGTTCTTTTTTTTTTTGTTAAGTTTGATTCTTTCGACTTTTCCGATTAATTGTTGCTTCGTTTGATCTGTTGTTGAGATAGGCATTGGATTTGTAAACATGCAACGAACTATTCCTAATTTCTTACTTCATTCGTAAGTGGATTTAGATGCAAAGAGGCCAAAAAAAAAAACGATTGGATCTTAGTGAATATTTTACCATTGGTTTATTAGTTTTAAAATGGCCGTTATTTGGGTTGAATTAGAATAATTTTCAGTGAATTCTTCCATGTCGATTCAATTGAACCTATGTTTCAAAAAGGAAACTGTTCATTTAAACAGTAACCCTTTTTTTTTTCTAGTGATTTTACGTTGGGATTTTCAAAATGTTAAAATGGATAGATGGGTGACTAATTGTCTTGGGAAAAGACTGTAGCTTTTCTATGAGTAAATCGTGGTCAGTTATTGTTTCCTGATCACATTTTTATCTTGTTTCTTTTTCATTTTTAGGTCCACCAAGCGATTTGGCCCTGATGGAAAGAGGTTTGAGCATCTTGCGTTCCTTAACTTGGCGCAAAATGTGGTTTGCTTAGTTTGGTCATACATAAGTAAGTTTGTCCTTTCCTTCTACCATATTGTGTATTTGATAAAATTGGCTATTTGTGTACCATTGACTGGCCGGTAATAATTTGTTTGTTTGTACTTGTGCCTCATTTACAGTGATCAAGCTTTGGTCCAGTAGCAGCAGTGGTGGTGCCCCCTGGTGGACTTATTGGAGTGCTGGAATCACTAATACAATTGGTCCTGCCATGGGTATAGAGGCATTGAAATACATCAGTTACCCTGCTCAGGCATGTCGTAGATTCTCTATAGTTTTGGATATTTTCTTGTTTTATCTCACCTGTTTTAGTGCCTATACTTATTGATATATAACCTGAATTGACCAATTGTAGGTGAACTTGTGTAGTTGGACAAATTCTTAATTAATGATGCCTTTTCTGCTCTAGTTCATGTAATTGACAAAATATTTTTATTATTTATAAAATTAAACTATCAACACTTGTTAATATAATGTGATGAATATAGTTGAATCCAAATGTTTTCTGCTTAGTGATGGGGCTTTATTTCTTAGTGTTGTGGTTACTGTTGATTTTCCAGTGACAGTTAAGTTGATTGGTTTTAACGTTTGTTGTTGTTCGTCTTACTTGCAGGTGCTGGCAAAATCCTCTAAAATGATTCCAGGCAAGATATACTTTATTTTCTATAACCTATTTTTGTCATGGATCTTAATTAATTGGTATATTGTTAGTTACGTAAAGCATTAGTTATTTTTGAATTGGTAGTGAATTCCCAAGTGCAAGGGGTGTTTAGGTTAAAGAATTATGTATCATGATGTTTTAGGATGAGCTAATAACGTATTTTACCTTTATACAGTCATGCTGATGGGTACTCTAGTTTATGGTATTCGATACACTTTCCCTGAGTATATCTGTACTTTCCTTGTGGCTGGAGGGGTATCCACATTTGCACTTATGAAGGTGAGAAGTGTGTTATTTGTTAGACTGTAATAACAACGCTACTTCTATTTTTTTGAATTTTAATTGTCATCTCACTTCTTCACAAGGCTTATTGGAAGACTAAATGTCATTAAGGACCCCCTACGAAATTTCAGTTCTGAATCATATAGTTTGCTCTTGTGTCTGCTTTGATCTTATTCCAGACTAGCTCAAAAACAATTAGCAAGTTGGCACATCCCAATGCACCCCTTGGATATGGGCTTTGTTTTTTTAACCTTGCATTTGATGGCTTTACAAACGCCACTCAGGATTCAATAACTGCAAGGTATGTTTGTGGAAAAGTTTTTCCTACTTTAGCTTTGATGTTTTGCTATTTTGATGAAGACTTATTATGCATGCATTGCGATAGAATAGCTGTTTTATCCCCTCATTCCTTTGTTACTGTCAATGTATAATCAAACTATCCAAGAAATATGTCTCTTAATCTAGTTTGTTTGGTTGTTCAACTGAATAAGTTTTCAAAGTAAATTTAGGAGCAAAAGCTCTGTACTCTTTTTCCAAAGGAGAACTTTGGTTCATTCATTGCAAAATGTTATATGCAGAAACATTAGCAGCTTTTATAGATAGTTCGCTTTAAAGGCTTTTCTCGTTCTCTTTCTTTCTTTGCTGAGATGTCAGCTCATGTTTTTCTCTTAAAGCATTGTTATTTTCTTGATATGTGCATTACTTTTTGGACAATAAACCTAGTATTTAGAAGATAATTGCAACAAAGAGGGAGCAAATTTGAGGTTTGCAGCAACTGGCTGACTTCAAGATACGTTTTACTCTGTAAATCTTAAAGAATGTATTTTGGACAAGCAAGATTCATGAGAACTAAACAGACCAGCTTGCTGGTGCTACAAACTTCTGTTCCTCCATTTTCTTACTATAGCCTCTAAAATTCCACATAAGTTGATCGAATGGTAGCATTGTAGATATTTCATTAGAACTGATTTTCTCTTGTTAATTTGAGTTTGTATCACTCAATCTTTTTGGTTTACCTTGCCTAGGTACCCAAAGACAAGTGCTTGGGATATCATGTTGGGAATGAACTTATGGGGTACCATATACAACATAATTTACATGTTTGGCTGGCCACATGGTAGTGGCTTTGAGGCTGTCCACTTTTGCAAGCAGCATCCAGAAGCAGCATGGGATATTTTCCTCTATTGCCTCTGCGGAGCTGTTGGCCAGAATTTCATTTTCTTGACCATAAGTCGATTTGGCTCCTTGGCAAACACAACCATTACCACCACACGCAAGTTTGTCAGCATTGTGGTGTCCTCTCTGCTGAGTGGCAATCCACTGTCCACAAAACAATGGGGTTGTGTACTCATGGTCTTCTCAGGGTTGTCATACCAAATCTACCTGAAATGGAGGAAGTTGCAGAGGCTTCAGAAGAAGAGAAAAGCCTGAAGGATGCCTGTAACAGTTTTGAGCTCTAAGTTTAACTCGTTTCCGTTTCCCTTTTGTAATTTTTTACCATCCCCATGGTGTACTATCTTTACAGCCCTAAGCTTCATTGATCCCAAATTTAAGACAATACTTAGAAATTGGTAGATGTAATCGAATAGATCTTCATTTGAGAAAAAAGAACGATTGGTATCCATCGCTAGCCGAGAGTTGTAAGTTTCAAGTGCTCTATTTCAAAAAAACATTATGTTGTTAACTTATCATATCAAGGTATGAAACAAGGCTTTAGTTACATTCAAGGTTGTCCCCATTAAGAAAGCCTCTCTCTACTTTATGGTGAAGTGGGGGCAGGAGAGGTAACCGTTGCATATCATTTGAATAGTCGACTATTCACTCTGCAATGATAACATAGCTTCTACCGTGCGTTTCAGAGTGATATTTGGGGCAAAAGTGTGCATTATTTGCATGGATCTGGGGGTCAAAACAGTCAAAATGCACCTTCTATGGAGAAAGTTTATGGCCAATAAGTTCACTTTATTTTGTATGAGGTTCCCTCTCCCTGCTTTTACTCTTTGCTTTTGCTTTGGTCATAATTACACTTGTCCTCCACTATATCTGGTATCCCCCCACCGATGGTGTCACTTGATAACAAAGTTCCAACACTCTTCTTCTCTGCAAACACTAATTTCAACTGAGATCATACAGTTTTTGTGAGAAAGAGAGAAGGGAAAGATAGGGGTGGTTCATTTCATGCTTGGTCAGACAATGGATGTTCTTTTGCATTCTTTGTAAGTATGCTGCTTTACATTCTTTATTTTCTTATATTCCCTTGATTTGCTCCTCTTTGAAAGAATGCAAGAAAGAGAGTAATCTATTGTATGCTCAGTTTTCCCAAAGATCCAAAATGAAAGTTTTAGCTTGATTCCATTGCTACCTGCTGCATCATGTTTTGAGCTGTAACTAACTGTCAAATCTTCTGTCTATTTAGATTCCATAATGCATGAAGTCAAGCTGGGGAAATTAAAAAAGAGTAAGAGGTTGTTTCACACCAAAGCCCAAACACATTTTCACTCAAATCATATCTGAGTTTCATTACATTAGAAATCAGGATAGAAAACCACAAAAAAGAAAACTTATTCTATACCCTTTGCACACCCAACAACATCAAATAGGAATCCAATCAATGTTAATCCTCCTTTACTGTTTCTTTTTTTTTTTTTTCTTCCTCTGTTTCTTTTATCATATGCAGGCAAGTTGCCAATGTATAATTACACTCTAAGGATTTTATATAGAAGGTTCTGTACAAAATTACAAATCAAGGACAAAAACTGGATCAGAAGGATGGAAGAAGAGATGCCGAAAATCCGATACCGCTCGGATGAGATGACAAACAAAAGAATGAGACACACAAAAAAGCACACATGGGTTTTAATGTGAGTATTAAGGTTGTACTCTCTAGGAAATTAGAGGAGAAAATTAATAGAACTCAGGACATCTTATTGGATGTGTCTGAGAAGCTAGAATGCACCAAAACATTCTAAGCGGGGAGGTGGGAATGCAGATCATTAAATGCCCTTGTGTAAAATTCCAGGCTAAGATGGCTGCAATCCTAGGACAAAAAATAAATGATGAAAGCTCAACGTGAGCTATGTTGCACAAGGGAACAAATGATGAGATATATGGACTATAGCCCAATGTTGGTTTCAGAATGAGAGATGATCAGAGGTTTGTTATAGACTATGGAGGAGGACTCGTTTGCAAGGTGGTGGTTGTGAAAGATTATTTGCTGGATTAGGTGAAGGGGACTCCATTCCAAGTGTCTTAAGTAGGAAGTTCCTTTCCTGAAAAAGAAACAAAAACTTAGTGGTTAGTTTCGTATTAAAGTTTGAGATAATGTGCCTATATGTGTGTAATATTCTTGCATTTCTATGTTAGATTACAAAAAGGAAACAACAATACAAGCAAAGGTAGGGCAGCACTCTATTTTGAGCTTCACATACACAATGGTTAATTGGTGGTTGCTTCCTTTATTAAATGCAGAAAAAATGTTTAACTACAAATAATGAGAAATAATTATGAGCGGTAAACAGTTTATGAAGTAAAAGCCTATAACAAAAATATATTTGAGGGTAGAGAGAGTGTAGTCTTAGGGTTCTACACACAAAAAAAAAGAAGCTTATAAAGCATTTTGCAGCCCTTGTTATGTTCTAATCTACCATTTTTTTCCTTTTTCACTCTGTAATCGACTTTTTGTTTAATTTCTTTGTTAACATTTGGTATGGTAGTTTCTGGAAATTTAACTGTATACTATATTTAGAGAGGAAATGTTATTCTCTGATTTGCCTGGCTGTTTCTTTTCTTATTGATAGTGTTCTTATTTGTGATAGCAGGAACTTTAATTTGAACTCTGATTCAAAATTTTGGCCACTTGGATACAACTTAATCTCTGAAAGTTCCTCAAAAGTGAAAAACAACTAAGGTCATATGGCTTTAAACTTGCTCTTTGTTTCAGATATTGACAACTCTAGATGCTGAACAAGTCTGCTGATGAACTTCTAATAAAAGTTTAAACTGTTTCAGGATAGATGTGGAGGATTTAGATTGCATTTAATAGGAAATAAAGCTTTTCGCATAAAGGAAAGCTCATGGCAACCACAGGCGGCTTATTCTGTCTAATATACTGGTTAGAACTGGCAGAACCAGAGTCCAGTTAATGGATAGAAAATCATGAGGCACTATGTTGCCTCCTAATGATGCGCTTTCCAATGGCTTCATATGTACTATTCCAATTTCTAACTATATTGTTCAATAGTAGTGCTTGCAGATCTAGAAAAGTGGGATCAACGATTATTGGAGAAGAATGTAGTAGCACCTTTATCATTATCAGTTTCACAGATTATATTCTCACCAGCCACTAAAGCTACTAATGCCTTGAAAGTCTGTTAAGCCAACTACCCAAGTGCTCCTAACACTTATTGACTAACAAGTTCAAAGTCCTAGCAATGGTCCAAACAACCTCTTAACAGTGGCTTTGAAGTAAATCAAAATTCTGCTCTTATTGCTAGTATAAAAAGATCCATAACTATTAATCCACGCTGGTATTATTCTTGGTAGACTAAATAACTAGACACTGATAAGCTCACAACTCTACTATGACTGCAGATGGAATTTAGTTGTTAAGAAAGATGCAGAAGAGCTACTACCTGCTACTGCAAATACTATTATCTGCTACAGCTCCCACTTCTAGTAAAATGGATCTATAGTTGGTAGAATCAACAGTTCAAAGATAACTTACACTTTCTGAAAATTTCGGGCTGGGAATTCCTGCTGCTAGAGATCTGAAAAGTGGGGTAACATGGACTGGGGAACTGAATTCTGCGCTTGATGAGTTAGGAGCAACCATAATGTTTTTTTGATCATCACAAGATGGTACTATCTCGACTGCGTTAACATAAGACATTTCATCAGAAACATCATTTTATCTTATTTATCCACTTTATTGTCATAAACAAGGCATTCCTAGGCCTTTATACCAGATATAGCTGTTCATTACCATGATTTATCTTTGCACTAGAAAGAGCCATTTTCTCCTCTTCATTCCGGCAATTCTGCTCTCCAATATGACTTGACAGTATGTCCCGGTGCAGTGCATCTATCTTGGCTTGGTTTTCTTGTCCTTTTTCCCCAGCCGGATGAGGCATCAGTGTTGACCCTGTACTGTATTCTGAACTGGCTGGAGATGCCTCATATAGATCAGGTTGCCTAGAACAAATTAATCATCAGTTAGTTTTAAGTAAGAAACTTTATTAAGTATAAATTTTAAAAAAGTCCACTGATTTTTCTGTTACCTCCAAGATGGTCGATTTCCCTCATTACTGCTCCTTAAATCCTCTAGCAAGTCTTTGAAATCTTCAAGTTGAAAATCAATATCAGAGATTGTATATCTGAAGATGTCATTTTCTTTACTCTGATTCAGAAAATCTTGGAGAACCTGAATATAACGTAGGATGAAGGTTAGAAGCACGCAATGCATAGGATGCACTATTAGTGGAGACCCACACCCAATCTACCATAGCAAATCCTCGCAATTTCCCAATGTGGAATTGGGCGTTACACTGTTAGCCACAGTATTTAAGAAGTAGCAGTTTACCATTTGGCAAGCTACCATGTTGATAGTATTGGATATTGATAACACAAAAAATATAAAAAATACAAAATTACTTCTCACCTTCCAAGCATTTTCCAGACTCTGTTCTGTGTTGTCTGTGTTAACTTTTAATGCAAGTGAGCTGAGTAGCTCTGCTTGCTGCATCAAAGCAGTTACCTTCGGATCATCCTTTTTGAGAAATGTTCCTTGAGTTCTATTATTCTGAGCTGCTAATGAATAAAGGAGAAAGAGAATGTAAATGTCATATTATGAAGAAGGAACAGAAATAATAGAAGACTGTATGCACAGTGTTGGCTGATCTGCAAAGTGATTAGCTATTGTAAAAAGTTCTTTTTGCAGGTCTAATAAGAGAAAGAGCAAGAGAAATGCAAGTGCCAATGCCAAGAATTTGTTGCTTAAGCGGATTTACCATCATTAGAGACCTCCTTAACATTGTTGACTTGAGATTGCACCACCACGTTGTGAACATTATGAAGATTTTGACCCAAAACAGCGAATGGATGTCTCAGGTGCTGGTTGATTATTGTTCCAGATACTCCATGAGCTCTATCTCCAAAGTTGAAAGTTTCAGAGAGATCAGAGATGTGGGATCTCCTGATTTGGAAAAGGAAAAGATTTTGATTTGTAAAGTGACATAATTCTTAATCATTACTATGTATATACATTTGTAGGTTTATGCTACCTCATTCTCTTAACAGGAGCAACACATTCCGCTGTTCCATCTGTATTGAACCCATCTTGGAGCAAAATTCTTTTGTTATTTGGGTTTATACATGAAGTATTGTTCTCTTTTACCAAAGCTTCATACTTGGCTCTCTTCTTGCATAGTGTGGAGAATCGATTTTTAACAGCATTATCCGTTCTGCATTAAAATCATAATCAGCAAAATTTGATAATCTACAACAGAAAATGAAAAATGCAAATGATTGCAGAAAAGAGATAACTTTTTCCACAAAGTTTTTATTTTTTTTATCTACCTGCCTGAAACCACCTTTGCTATTTCTGTCCATCGATTGCCAAATATTTTTTGAGCCTGCAAATCACCTCAAGTCAATAGCTCAGAAGCCACATTCAATGATCTACAATAACAATTATCCAAACTGAAATTAAGTGGCTGTTGTTTGCCCTACATTTGAAGGACAAAAAACTGGTGTCAATTAGTTTAAGGTCTGGCCTACCTCTAAATTTTTTTTTCTGTTTGGAAAACTCAACATCTACTGTACCACTGACATGCAATAGCCTGGTACAACTGATCAATGAAAGTAACATTTCCTCCAAAAATTTCACCAGAAAATATAAGTTTTTGAAAAATTGATTTGAAGTTTTATTTAAAAACCAGTCTGACTATGACCCCAGTTAGCTTGAATGAAAATTACCTCACATAAAAGCATATCTTCCTCTGGTGACCATCCTCCTTTCTTGAAATCAGAATTCAAGTATGTGTACCATCTGTGTTTTTATTATAACAAATGCATTAGATTAGATTAAAGCAGCAGTAACAAAAAGTCAAAGAAAGAATAAATAATCAAATGGATCAAAAATAGAAGATCATCAATAGAACTTTTTGAAAGCTTTATCATCATCATGGTTTCACCAACCTTCTTCTGCACTGTCTTGTGGTTTTATCCTTGAATTTAGAGGCAATGATCGCCCAGCTGCAATCAAAGATTAAAACACAAACAATCAAACTCCTTCAATTTCATTCATCATTAAAAATAGCAAACAAACTTTTAACAAATGAAATAAAAGGCTCACTTTTCAGTTCCATGTAAACTGATTTGTTCACGAAGTATATCATCTTCCTGCAAGAACACCCATAACAAAGAATCAATCAATCAATCAATAAAACAGAGGAAAACAAAGAAGAAAAAAAAAAATTTTTAAAAAGAAAACCTCTTGATTCCACGTCACTATATGACGCTCCTTCTTCTTGGAATCTTCATTGCCACCTCCTCCTCCACCATTCTTCTTCTTTGTTTCCTGCATTTTTTTACTTCACTACTCTCTTATTTCTCTCAATCTATGTCTCTGTCAGTCTCTGGCCTTGACGCTCCTTCCCTTTTATTAAAACCAAAGTGGCATACTAAAAAGCCAACCCCTTTGTGACCCTTTATAAAAAAAAATTACACTTGAATCCCTGAAAAAAGGAAACAAACCTTCCACCACTTCCCTCTCTTTTCTCTTCTATCTTTACAAACCTCACTGTTGGGTTCAAACCGAATCCTTATTACTCTCAATAACTCTATGTTTTGTCCCCCATACACTCTCCTCTTCTACTCCATTCCTCGGATTCTAACCTTTCTTTTTTTTTTTTTTTTCTGTTTGTACTTAGAAAATGGAATCACAAAGCCTCCACCACTCTACCATTCAAATGCTACTAAAGCTTGGACTTTCTGATTAGAATTTACATGTATATACGTAGAATCGAAAAGGGTAGATCTAAAATGGGAAAAAGAATGAAACTTTGGAAAGAAAAGAAAAAAAAAATGGAAGAGTGATAAGAATACGATCTGTCTGAAATGAATTACTATATTTTGGGTCTTTGTTTGGTCGGTTTATCCTTCAAAGAAAGAAACTATTTGAAATTACTAATATTTTCTCTTTCTTACAAGGAGTTTGGATTTTGTAGGTTTTCTTTTCTTATATAAATTAAAAAAAATGGAAAATATTTTTTAAAATATTAATTTAAATCAACGGATTCTTGCCTTAGTGCGCGGGTTTGAAGGAGAGTTTGAAAATATTAAAATAAAATTCATAAAAGAAATTCATAAATAAATAAATAACGCTGAATTTCATGATGGTGTGTTTTTAATGAAGAAATCCGTGCTCCTAATGCAAACCCCATTTTTTGTTTTTGTTTTTTTTTTTATTTTTTCATTTTATAATTTAATAAATTTTCCATTTTCTTTTTTTTTTTTTTCTGAATAATGATGATTTTAAAGGAACTTGACCATCTTCGTGACCTAACCTTCACACTTCTTAAACAGCTCATATTTTTTGATTTTCCATTTAATTTCATTTTCTTGGAGTGGAAAATGTAATGTTGTTTGTTGGATATTTTTTAAAATTGAATTTCTTTTTTTTTTTGTGTGTGTGAGAGAGTTTTGGGGGGCATTAATGGCATTTTTTTATTTTTTGCTTTTTCACTTAAATGGGGTTTGTTGCTTTCATTCATTTTTCCCACTTCTCTTTTGTTTTTATTCATGTGAAGCATATAAATAATTTAGATTTTAGAGGGAAAAATGCCAATATGTAAATCAAAATAGGAAACTTCTCTTTTACTTTATGTTTGGAAGATTTGAAGAAAAACAACACAAAATTTTTTTGTCTTTTTATAAAGAAGAACATGGCAATATTCCAAATAGAATGTTGCAAGCAATTGCCTAGATTCAACATCATTTAATTAAACAAGCAACTTAATTTGTATATCATGGTAAAAATGTTTAAATCATAATTTTTAATGTTTTTTAATAAAAAATATCGTAATTTAAAAATAAAAAAATTATAAATATTAAAATTTAAAAATTAAATTTATTAAATGTTGTCTTTTAAAATTAATCGTATAAATTAATTAATTTAAATCGTAAATTCATGCTTTGCAATTTTCTCTTTAGAGGAATTTGAAAGTTTTTACAAATATTATTGGGTATTTTAAAATCAAATTTTCCTTTAAAAGTCAAAATTTTTGGCTAATACATATTCTTTTAATAGAAAATTACAAGTACAAGAAAGTTTCAATAAATCAACATTCAAGCGAATTTGCTATAATCCATCTAGAAGCATTTTTTCTTCATTTTATCAATTGAGCAAAAAAGACCAGGATGATCATGCATAAATTAACTTTGGAATACTATTTTTTTTCATATATATATATATTGCATAGTTTCAACCATATGTAACCGACAATAGTTTTGTACTAGAAAAACATGACTTCCGCTTCCAAAGATATACAAGAAACACAACCAAAATCAAAGTCATGACGTGAAACTTTCTCAATGAAGTGACCCAAACCTAACTATCTTCAATCCTATTCGTTAAAATTTGAATTTTATTAAATTGATCAAGTTGACAAAAATTTTAAAAAGATTTAAAAAAAAAAAACGCGTGGGCCTTACTTTTAGCCGGCCACTCTCTTGTTATTATTAATAAAATCCACAAAATCGATAAACGAAACTTTTTAAAATGAATTAATAAACCCAAAATTATATAAAATAAAATTACAAAATACAAATAAAAAATACCATATCCTCAATGTAATGTACCGAACCCTAGGCCAGTTGCTGGAGTTCAAAGCCTATTGAAACCCTACAAACTTATAACTACCACTCTTTGTTAATGTTGTTTAGATTTCACTTATACATCAACTGAACCGGTTTTACTTACTTGCTTTAGAAGGCCACTTGGACAAGGAATTTGCATGACATGTGGATCGAGAAGAGGTGGGGAACGAACTTTTAAAATCATTGACAGAGAAACGTTATAGATGGCAATTTCATTGGTCTCTTTCTTGATAGCGAAATCTCCCGCCCAAAAAGAGGTATTGATTCAAGCAAGGGACTCCCCTTACGTTTGTTTATGTTTATCGTACATGTGTGGACGGTTTAAAGCAAAAGGATAACGTATAAGATACCACATTTCAAAGTTAGAAAATAATAATATTTTTTAAAAATTAAAATTTATTAAAACTAAAAAAATTACAACGTTAAAATCACGTTATTAAATCTGCGATGCGATTAACATTTATGAAATCCACAAAATGATTTGTTTTTCTTGACACATAAACAAACGAAACATTTAAAAATAATAATAATAACAATAATAATGACATAAGGTCTTTGGATAAATACGAAATACTTTGATATGTTTTCACTATTAAACAAGGCTAGTTTGACTTGATCTTGTCTACTCACATGAAGTATGCATTCCATCTTATCAAATATCAAAATAAATATTGAAACTTTATGTAGCAAAATTTTGATGAAAGTAAAAATTGGACCCTGTATTGCTATATCAGTCTATTGAGATTGTTCTATTAATAAATTTTCGTTTTGACTGAAATTTCTTTTTATGAAATTATCTAACAAATTAAACATAAATAGATTAAACTACATTTCATTTGATTGATAGGAATTGATTTTTCACTCAAATGATTGATCCATGGTCATATATATACTTAATTTCAAAAATAAATGTAAGTTTATATATATTAATTAATGATTCTTGTATAACATTATTAAAAAAAATCATATATACATGAACAGTTATATATGGGGAGGGAATCTGATAAAGATGTAGGAAAGAAAAACTTTTATATCGAGAGGGAATCTGGAAAATGGTAATGTAAAAGTGGAAGTGGAGAGATATCAGAAATGGACATAGAGAGAGGTGAGTCGGTGATATTTGTCCCATCCACAAGCAGCCATCAAAGAGCAAGACGACCCAGAAAAAGACCGACCCTGTGGAACCCTATGCAAAAGTTTCATTTTGCTATACACTATTAAAACCCTCTTTTTCTAAAATAATCTTTTAAAAGCTTTCAAACCAACAACAAAAGAAAAAAAATCTCTCACAATGTATATACACCATACACACCCAATAAATAAAACCATCATCAAGCTGCCCTATAGCCCCTCTTATTTTCAAAAAGAAGAAAAGGAGAAAACTCCCTCCTCTTTCTCCTCCCATTATGCCTCAATTTTGTCAGTTTTCAATCGGCTTTTGATTGAGACTGAAACATTAAACTTTAGTCATTTCTCTTGTCTTGGCTCGACCCCTATCCCTAAAAAAAAAATATATATATATATATATATATATGTATGTATATTTTCATCACTTTGACAAATGGTTTTTCGTGAAAGATAAATTTTAGACCAGCAGCTACCAGTTTTTCTTGCCACAGGGTCCCAGAAAACGTGTTAAAAAAAGTCCATTACGGGTTCAACATCTTTCTAGCTTCTCCTACCTATATTTGTTGTTCAAACTCTAGGCCATCATATTTTTTTACTACGTTCGTGAAACAGCTGATGGATTAAGCTAGAAAAAGGAGAGAGATAGCGAATCATGGTTTATGGGGATGGATTCGGGCAGGAGGGCCAAGGCCAACCACTATGTCATGCTAGAGATTAATTTGTTATATCAACTTGATGATATTACTAGTATATTAAAGCTCGATCGGCCATAGGGGAATTATTAGTAGTCTCAAGATATTGGCACATCTAAAGGCAATAGGGGTCCCTAACAAAGAAGGCTGATTGATAAAATTTTCCATGGCCAGGCTAGCCTTGAAACGACTTTGCAGGAATAATTTGACTGGTCTAACTATATATAGTGGATTCCTCTACAATAATACAAAATTAACAACATAAAAGAAATTAAAGAAGATTCATGATCATGAACAAGATAGTATTATTTTTGGTTTATAATCTCATATAACCGTAGTTTCGAATGTTAATTCTAACAAATTAAAATAAATATTAGTCTTAAGCAAAACTATAGTTAGGGCAATATGCTATCTCCAAAACCATGCATTACTATTTTTTCGGCAAAGGGGGAGATATACGAAAGCATTACCAGGATATATAGTTCAAGATCGTGTAATGATAATTTCCACTAATCCTTAGTGAAAATCTAAACAAGATGCAAAAGGATGATGGAGGTAGTAGGAGAGGCCCAAGTTCCCAAAGAGATCGATATTTGATGAGATGGGAGGTGGCCACTGGTCGATGTGGGTCTTAGTTTTGATCGTCTTTTGATGAACTCTTCATCATGCCCAGTAGAGCGCACACCCAATCAATTGCTGCTAGTCATGTGTCTCATCCGCTCCCTTTGCTTTTGTTCTTCTTTTTTTTTTTTTTTTTTTTTTCACTCTAAAATTAAATAAAAAAAACACGTGGGCCTTTTACAAGCTCCCATTTCTCAACATAAAGGAAATTTAAGAATGATTAAGTACAAAATATTCAATGAGCTTATCATACATGTTTTTTGTTGCTTTGCCTTAGCCTGTTAATAAGCTAAGAACCGCTTAATCAAGGTGCTCTACCTAGGTCATCATATAATTATACCCTAAAATGTCATGTTCTTTGCTTTAATTTTTTTTCCAAATTATAAAGATTATAAAATAAAGATAAAAAAAAAGATCACAAGTATTGAAAATTAAATTTCATATATATTACATGACATCTCTTAAAGATGATTCATAATTATATGATAGGTATGTATCCTATCTTTAAGCCTCAGGTTTTAATTTGCTTAATCAATTAGTTTTTGACTTCTAAATTATCAAGTACGCTATCTTTAAATGATGATATTGATAAATTTATGATCAAGCACTACCTCCATAATTTATGTTAACATCAAATTAAACGAAGTGGAAAAATAAAGAAAGATAAAGCTTTGATGAGTCGTAAACATTTTCAAAAGTTCTAATTAGGAGCCCACATTGTTTGATAAGTTTGGTTTACTTTAGGGCCATGTTTTTCATTAATCAAATTTGGGTATATCTCCTAATACCTCTTTTGCCTTATACATGGATGAAAAGGTTATACTTTTACCAGCTATTTTTCCAATTGAAAGGGTCCATGATCGATCTTTTAGTTTCAATTTTTTTTAAAGGGCA